GGAGGGGAGGAGAAGGAGGAGGGGGAGGAGGAGGGGGATGAGGGAGAGGAGGAGGAGGAGGAGGAGGAGGTTGGCTTTTGGAGTAGGAACTGAGGTGGTAATAATGGAGGATTAGGAAGAGGTTGGCCTTTGAATAGGAACTTCTGTGGTAAGAGAGGAGGAGGAGGAAGAGGAGGAGCTTTGCCAATGGAATAGGAGCTGCTGTGGTAAGGAGAAGGAAGAGGAGGAGGGGGAGGAAGGGGAAGGACGGAGGAGGAGCTTGGCCTTTGCGATAGGAACTGCTGTGGTAAGGAGAAAGAAGAGGAGTAGGAAGAGGAGGAGGAAGAGGAGCAGGAGGAGGAAAGGGAGGAGGAGGAGGGGAGGATGGCCTTTCAATAGGAACTGCTGTGGTAAGAGAAGAAGGAGGAAGAGGAGGAGGAGGAAGAGGAGGAGGAGGAAGAGGAGGAGGAGCTTGGCTAATGGAATAGGAACTGCTGTGGTAAGGAGAAGGAAGAGGAGAAGGGGGAGGACGGAGGAGGAGCTTGGCCTTTGGAATAGGAACTACCATAGGAAGGAGGAGGAGGAGGGAGGGAGGAGGAGGGAGGGAGGAAGAGGTGGAGGGAGGGAGGAGGAGGAGCGAGAGTGGAGGAGGAGGAAAGGAGGAATCAGGGTGGAGGAGGAAGTGGGAGGGAGGAGTAGAGGAGGGGTGGGAGGAGGAGGAGGAGCTTGGCCTATGAAATATGAACTGCTATGGTAAGTAGGAGGATGAAGAAGAGGAGGAGGAAGAGGAGGAAGAGGAAAAGAGGCCGGCCTTCGAAATGGGAACTGAGATTGTAATAATGGAGGAGGACTGGGAGGGGGAGGAGGAGGACGGCCTTTGGAGTAGGAACTGAGGTGGTAATAAAGGAGGAGGAGGAGGAAGAGGATGGCCTTTGAATCGGAACTGCCGTGATAAGAGAGGAGGAGGAAGAAGAGGAGGAGGATCTTGGCCTATGGAACAGGAACTGCTGTGGTAAGGAGAAAGAAGAGGAGTAGGAAGAGGAGGAGGAAGAGGAGCAGGAGGAGGAAAGGGGGGAGGAGGAGGAGGAGGGGGAGGTTGGCCTTTGGAGTGGGAACTGAGGTGGTAATAATGAAGGAGGAGGAAGAGGATGGCATTTGAATAGGAACTGCCCTGGTAAGAGAGGAGGAGGAAGAACAGGAGGAGGAGCTTGGCCTATGGAATAGGAACTGCTGTGGTAAGGAGAAGGAAGAGGAGCAGGAAGAGGAGAAAGAAGAGGAGCAGGAGGAGGAAAGTTTCGAGGAGGAGGAAGGGAGGAATCAGGGTGGAGGAGGAAGAGGGAGGGAAGAGTAGAGGAGGGGTGGGAGGAGGAGGAGGAGCTTGGCCTATGAAATATGAACTGCTATGCTAAGGAGGAAGAGGAAGAAGAGGAGGAGGAAGAGGAAGAGGAGGAAGTAGAGGCCGGCCTTAGAAATGGGAACTGAGGTGGTAATAATGGAGGAGGACTGGGAGGGGGAGGATGAGGACGGCCTTTGGAATAGGAACTGAGGTGGTAATAATGGAGGAGGAGGAGGAAGAGGATGGCCTTTGAATAGGAACTGCCATGGTAAGAGAGGAGGAGGAAGAAGAGGAGGAGGAGCTTGGCCTATGGAATAGGAAGTGCTGTGGTGAGGAGAAAGAAGAGGAGTAGGAAGAGGAGGAGGAAGAGTAGCAGGAGATGCAAAGGGTGGAGGAGGAGGAGGAGGATGGCATTTCAATAGGAACTGTTGTGGTAAGAGAAGAAGGAGGAAGAGGAGTAGGAGGAGGAGGAGGAGGAGGAAGAGGAGGAGGAGCTCGGCCTATGGAATAGGAATGGCTGTGGTAAGGAGAAGGAAGAGGAGCAGGAAGAGGAGGAGGAAGAAGAGCAGGATGGGGAAAGGGGGGAGGAGAAGGAGGAGGAGGAGGAGGAGGAAGAGGAGGAGGGGCTTAGCCTAAAGAATAGGAGCTGTTGTGGTAAGGAGAAGGTAGAAGAGGAGGAAGAGGAGCAGGAGGTGGAGATGGAGGAGGAGGAGGTATAGAAGGAGGAGGGGGAAGAAGAGGAGGAGGAGGCTGGCCTTTGGGATAGGACCTGCAGTGGTAATAAGGGTGGAGGAGGAGGAGGACGGCCTTTGGAATGGGAACTGCATTGGTAATGGAGGAGGAGGAGGAGGATGGTCTTTGGAATAGGAACTGCAGTGGTAATAATGGAGGAGGGGGAGGGGAGGAGGAGGAGGCAGGGGGCAAGGAGGAGGAGGGAGGGGGAGAGGAGGAAGAGGAGGGGGTCGGTCCTTGGAATAGGAACTAAGGTTGGAATAATGGAGGAGGAGGAAGAGGAGGAGGAGCAGGAGGATGGCCTTTGGAATAGGAACTGCAGTAATAATGGAGGAGGAGGAGGAGGAGGAGGAGGAGGAGGAGGAGGAGGAGGAGGATACGACCTTGGCCTTTGGAATAGGACCTGCGGTTAGGAGCAGGAGGAAGAGTAGGACGAGGAGGGGAGAGGAGGGCAGGATGGAAAAGAGGATGGAGGAGGAGTTTGGCCTTTGTAATAGGAACTGCGAAGGGGAGGAGGAAGAGGAGGAGGCCGGCCTTTGGAATTGGAACTGCTGTGGTTAGGAGGAGGAGGAGGAGGAAGAGTTTGAGGAAGAGGAGTAGAAAGAGGAGGAGGAGGAGGAGGAGGAGACTACCTTGGCCTTTGGAATAGGAACTGCGGTTAGGAGCAGGAGGAAGAGGAGGAAGAGTAGGAGGAGGAGGGTAGAGGAGGGGAGGATGTAAAAGGGGATGGAGGAGGAGCTTGGCCTTTGTAATAGGAACTGCGAAGGGGAGGAGGAAGAGGAGGAGGCCGGCCTTTGGAATAGGAACTGCTGTGGTAATTAGGAGGAGGAGGAGGAGGAGGAGGAGGAGGAGATGACCTTGGCCTTTGGAATAGGAACTGCTGTGGTAAGGAGGAGGAGGAGGAGGAGGAAGAGTTTGAGGAGGAGGAGGGGGGGAGGAGGAGGAGGAAGAGGAGGAGGAGGAAGAGGCTGGCCTTCGAAATGGGAACTGAGATTGTAATAATGGAAGACGACTGGGAGGGGGAGGAGGAGGACGGCCTTTGGAGTAGGAACTGAGGTGGTAATAATGGAGGAGGAAGAAGAGGATGGCCTTTGAATAGGAACTGCCTTGGTAAGAGAGGAGGAGGAAGAAGAGGAGGAGGAGCTTGGCCTATGGAATAGGAACTGCTGTGGTAAGGAGAAAGAAGAGGAGTAGGAAGAGGAGGAGGAAGAAGAGCAGGAGGAGGAAAGGGGGGAGGAGGAGGATGGCCTTTCAATAGGAACTGCTGTGGTAAGAGAAGAAGGAGGAAGAGGAGTAGGAGGAAGAGGAGGAGGAGGGGGGGTCTTGGCCTATGGAATAGGAACTGCTGTGGTAAGGAGAAGGAAGAGGAGCAGGAAGAGGAGAAAGAAGAGGAGCAGGAGGAGGAAAGGTTCGAGGAGGAGGAAGGGAGGAATCAGGGTGGAGGAGGAAGAGGGAGGGAAGAGTAGAGGAGGGGTGGGAGGAGGAGGAGCAGCTTGGCCTATGAAATATGAACTGCTATGGTAAGGAGGAAGAGGAAGAAGAGGAGGAGGAAGAGGAAGAGGAGGAAGAGGAAGAGGAGGAAGTAGAGGCCGGCCTTCCAAATGGGAACTGAGGTGGTAATAATGGAGGAGGACTGGGAGGGGGAGGATGAGGACGGCCTTTGGAATAGGAACTGAGGTGGTAATAATGGAGGAGGAAGAGGAGGAGGCCGGCCTTTGGAATAGGAACTGCTGTGGTAAGGAGGAGGAGGTGGAGGAAGAGTTTGAGGAAGAGGAGTAGAAAGAAGAGGAGGAGGAGGAGGAGGAGACTACCTAGGCCTTTGGAATAGGAACTGTGGTTAGGAGCAGGAGGAAGAGGAGGAAGAGTAGGAGGAGGAGGGTAGAGGAGGGGAGGATGGAAAAGGGGATGGAGGAGGAGCTTGGCCTTTGTAATAGGAACTGC